ACTCGGTGAGTTGTTCATACAACTCGGCGAGTAGGATGAAGGACTTGAACATCAGTTTGGAAGGAGAACTCGTCGAGTCGACGCCTAACTCGACGAGTAGAAACAGAATTCAGGTCAGTCATTTGGACATGGACTCGGCGAGTTGGCGAGCCAACTCGGTGAGTCGGGTCAACTGGAAGTTGACTCTGACTTTGACTTAAGGCATGATCAGGGGTAAAATGCTAATTTTACCCAAATGTCAGTTAGCAGTTTTTGACTAAGTGTTTGGTGGGAATTACAGCCGGAGGATTTCCGGAACAGCAGCAGCAGCAGTCAGAGTATTCCCACGAAGATCAGCAGCTACTCCGAGGTGAGTTACCTTTCAGTAGCGGTGGGTCTAAGGCCACAATGTCGGCCCACCAGTAGGAGTTGTATGTTAGATGATTGTCTTTGTGATATCATCTAGGTTTGCTATTACCGAAATGTTATATGTTGGCATGATATGTTGTACGTGATAGTAGTAAAGTTCGGTTGTTAGGACCGAAGGGTAGTCAAGCACCCCATATACGTCTGATATTATGTTTGTGTTATGATATATGTGATGGTAGTAGTAGGGGTGAAATAGTCCCCGAGGTTCGGTTGTTAGGACCGAAGGGTAGTCAGCACCCCAGAATAGCTCGACATGGGTAGGTCAGTACCCCAGAATGGCTTGACATGGGTAGGACGGCACCCCAGAATGGCCGCACGGGTAGTCGGCACCCCAGAACAGCCGTACCGGGTAGTCAGGCACCCCAGAATAGCCTGGCAGTATGTATGTTATGTATTGTATGATATGTGATACGATGGCGGAACTCACTAAGCTTTGTGCTTACAGTTTACAGTTTTGGTTTCAGGTACCTCTTCATCGAAGGGGAAAGAGTTGGCACGGTAGCGGCACATCATGCACACACACTGGTTTCCGCATCTGTTAGACTCCTTTGGGATTTATACTCTGATGTTTCGATTGGTTGTATAACTTGACTTATGAACATGGTTTATGTTGTGATGTAGTTTGATCAAACAATGTTTTTATTTATTAACGTTTTCTAAAGTAATGTTTTAAAACGAATTTTTTTTTGACGTGAAAATTGGGTCGTTACAGGTCAGGATTGTGCCACGTGTCACTTGCAGATTACTCCAAAAACTAATTATCTTCTAAAATCTGTAACTTTCACACGTGTCGTCTAAAAATCGATGGATCTAAAATTCGAATTTTGGGTTGCGTACTTCTATGCTAAATCTTAGAAAAATCATAACTTCCTCATACGAAGTCAGATTTGGACGTTCTTTCTGTATGTTCTCGGTTTAACATATACTACGACTTTCGTTTAGCTCCCTAAGGCTAAAAAGTAATTTATCAAAAATTCACTTTTTACATTACGCGGTGTCGTGTCGGTTTAGCCGTAAAACTTCGATTGGTTATAACTTCTTCGTTATAACTCAGATTTCAACGTTCTTTATATATACAGAATCCTTGTGACATATACTATAACTTAGTTAAGATTATTTATTCTAAATAATATTCTTTCAAAAATTCATTCTTGACGTTTATTATCTCTAAATTGACTAGCTCGAATCTGTGGGCGTTACAAAGCTAGTAGAGAAGTTTAAGTCCGTGCCATTTGTTTGAACAACTCCATCCAAAATATTCCAGTAAATTGGGGGTCACAATCATTGATGATGATTCATGGAACACTCCAATACTTCACCACATGCTTGAAGAATAGCTTGGTTGTTTCATCCGCAATGCAATCTGCTGGAGCCAATATGAAGGTTTCGTACTTTGAGAACCTATCCAGGACAACAATAATACTCCCACATCCTTCCTACTTTGATAAGCACATAATTTAATCCATAGATACACTCTCCAATGGGCCCTTAGGGGTAGGTAACGGCTACAATAGTCCCCCCGGTTGTCTTTGCTCTATTTTGTCTTGTTAGCACACAAAGCACGTCCAAACATAACCTTCAATATCATCCCTCGTATGCGTCCAATAGTACATACTCTTTATCAATGCTTCCATCCTCTTGACTCTCAGATGTGCCACCCACTTTGACTCATGGAACTCTCTCATTATTCTTCGTCTAAGATCACCCCATTTAGGCACAAATAATCGGTCTCCTTTGTAAAGAGTATATCTCCTTTAAGCCAAAATCTTTGCATATTCCCTTCTCGGTCCATAGTAATTAGGTTCTTAGCCAAAGGATCATTCTCTAGAAATTGTTTGATCTGATCTTGTAAGAAGAATTATGCTAGATTGATTGAAGTGAGGGTGCTTTTGCGACTTAGTGCATCGACAATAACGTTAGCTTTTCCCTATTTGTACTCGAGCACATAATCGAACTCCGCTAAAAAGTCTTGCCATCAGGCTCAACTCATTTTTGTGTTTGCAAATAGCTTGTCGCAATATTATCCTTTTTGATTTAAAAATTAGCACTAAGTAAATAATGTCTCCATACTCGTAAGCAATGGATGATAGAGGTTATCTCCTTTTCTTGCACCGTGTAACACCTCTCCGCCTCATTTAATTTTTGACTCTCGTACACTATTGGGTGCCCAATTTACATTAAGATCCCTCCTATGGCGAAGTCTGAAGCGTCATTATGTAACTCAAATGGCTTTGTGATATCCGATAATCTCATTACGGGTTCTTACTTCACCGCCTCTTATAACTCTTGGAACACTTTTTGACAACGAGAATCACATCTCCATGTTTTTTCTTTCTTTAGAAGGTTAGTCAAAGGGGCCACCTGACTAGAATACCCTTTGATGAAACTCTGATAATAGTTAACCAACCTAAGTAATGATTGAAGCTTTGTTACCTTGGTTGGTGCCTCTTAATCTCAAATAGATTTGATCTTCCCTTCGTCCATCATTAATCCTCCATCTCTGACTTTGTGGCCCAAAAATTACACTTTTGGTTGTGCGAATGAGCACTTCTATACTTTCACATAAAGTTGGTTCTCTCGTAATACTTGAAATACCTTCATCAAGTAAGAAACATGCTCCTCCAAGGAATGGCTATATACCACGATATCATCCAAAATATACCACCACAAACTTGTCGAGGAATGGGTGGAATAACTTATTCATTAGAGTACAAAACACACAGGAGCATTGGTCAGGCCAAATGGCATGACTAATAACTCAAAAGATCTATACCTTGTGACGTAAGTTGTCTTTGGCTCATCCCCCTCGGCAATTCAGACTTGATAATATCCCAATCGCAAATCAAGTTTAGAGAAATAGCGTTCTTTCCCTAGTTGATCAAATAAATCGGCTATGAGGGGAATCACGTATTTGTTCTTCACGGTTACTTTGTTTGGTGGCCGATAGTCGATGCACATTCGTAGATACCCGTCTTTATTTCTTTGAAATAGTATCGGGGCGCCATAAGGGGCTTTCGAGGGGCGAATATAACCAACATCTAGGAGTTCTTTGAGTTGTTTTCGTAACTCTTCCAGCTTAAGTGGTGCCATTCGATAAAGGCCCCTAGGTGGTGGCTTGGAACCAAGTTCTAACTCAATCTCATGATCTACTTCTCTCCTTGGTGGAAGCTTCTTTGGCAACTCTTTAGGCATCACATCTTGGAACTCCTTAATGACTTGCTTGATATCCATTAGGACTTCCTTCATTGATGACAATCCCTTCGACTCGTTCTTTATCACTCCCAAGTAACATGGCTCATGTTTGTTGAAACACTTATTAAATTGCATGGCAAAGAGGTTCTTCTTGGTATTATTGGAACCTCATTCGGTAGAAACCATATAAGTACAACTACCATATAGGATGCACAAGGAATTAGCAAAAGGCATCGGGAAAGCACATACCATATCGAAGAATTCTAACCCAAATCTTTGCTTCCATGTCGTGTGCCACACCCACAACTGGTTTGGTGGCAGAATTCACAACTTTAATGGAGACACCCACTTTTATATAGTTGATTCCTAATAACTTTGCTTCATCCACAAAGATAAAGTTGTGAGTTGCCCCACTATCAACAAGGGCCCTCATACGAGTGCCTTAAATGATTGCTTCCACAAACTGGAGTCCCTTCTTCTTTGTCTTCGGGACCTTGGTCTTGGCTTTGATTGCATTAAGAATCCTCAATGACCCCACACAAGTGTCCTTATCTCCTTCCTCATTTTGGATCATTTCTTGGAATTTGGCTTGCTTTAGGCAATTTCGGGGGGCATGTGGTCCACCACAAAGAAAACAACCATCAAACCAGTTGGGTAGGCGAGCATTTCTTCCGCTATTGAAGGGGGTCCTACGAACATTAATGGTCTTTGGGGAATTGGCTCTTGGGGTATCATTCCTAGATGACATTGTCTTTCTCCACCCCTCTCAAAGTTCTCCTTTCGGGGATCTCGAGATTTTGAAGGTTCCCTTTGGCTGAAATCGACCAAGTCTTTGGCTTCCGCGATTGCCGTTGCAAGATCTTTTACTCCCCATATCTTCAATTTTGTCTTGGCCTACCTTTTTTGTCCATCAAAGAAATAGACAAAAGCATCATCTCCGGAGAGATCGGGTATCTCGAGGGTGAGCGTTGTGAACTCCTTCACGTAATCATGAATAGTCCCTGTTTGGTGAAGTTTTCGAAGGCGTATCTTGGCTTATATCACTTCATTCTCGGGATAAAATTGATTCTTGAGTTCGCGAATAAAGTCATCCCAAGTATTCATGACACACGTACCTCGTTCCATGTCAGCATGCCTATGTCGCCACCATAATGTCGGAGCATCTTTCAAGTACCTTGTAGCAGTCTTGATCTTCATATCATCATCCAATATGTTTCCTCCTTTAGTCCTTCTAAGTATTGCTCCATCTGCTACAGGAAGTTATCCACCACCCTTGCTTCTCTTTTCCCCACGAACATTGATGGTTTTGGAACTTCAACCTTTTTGAGTGTAGATGTTGGTATCTTCTACTCCACCAACTACCGCCCGCTTGCAAAGGGCCCAATATGCATGCATATCTTCTACATGTTGAGTCGGGATAGAGAGCTCACCTTGCACTTATTCACTAACTTAGTCACCTCGCCAAGGAGCATCTCTTGTAAGCCACACATCTCCGTGCGTAAGTCCCTACCAAGTTTGTTGATCGCTCCTTTCACATTGTTTTGCATCTCTTCATTATTTAATGTCATCACGCCCATTTGTTGGTGTGCATCTTCAACCTGATCGCGCAACATCTCTAAGGAAATCTCTAATTCAAAAAGTCTCTTATCTAAGGATCTCCACATGTCCTTAGACTTACCTTGTCCCTTGCCTGCACCTTGACGAATCTTCTCTCGTCTTTTACTTTCTTCGTTCGTCACAACACCGATATCATTGGTAGCATTCTTCCCCATCTAACCTGCCATGCCTTCCTTTACTTGAACCAATCTATGATACTACTTGTCACGATATTGACTCTCCAAGCTCACCATGCGACACTTAGTTCTCAAACTAAGTCAGCCTAGCTCGAAACACCAACACAATAACAAAGAAAGGAAGAAAGTAACTCAACACTTGAAAGCTCTTTATTGTTCTAGATAACTCAACTCAATTACAAGGTGCGGAGAAATGAAACGGGAGAGCTCTATATATACAAGAGGCAAGAACTACTAGGAACTACAAGTTGGGGCTAGCCCACTTGGCTAAAATGGAGGTTCTAATCTAACTACCAACTAGGAGGTCCTGAGTTCAATCCTAAGCAAAGGAGATATATAGTTATTTGCCCTTAAAAAAACTACTATGAACTAAGGGACATCTTCTAGAATGTTTCTAGAAAATGTCTCTTCATAAGCCTTCCATGGAGCTTCTAGATCTTCTAGAATCTTTCTATAAAAGATTATTCTAGAAACAAAATTAATTGGAAAAATATCTAAATAAGGCGGGTCGTTACATTAGGTGAAGTGTCCATAACACCACCCAAAAATAATAAGCCATATTATTCATCAATATTTTTTACTGTTAAATTTTAAATATCTTATAAAAAAATTATAATTATAACAAGTTAATTCTTAAGGATAATTTGATAATTTAACCATCATGGTTGGTCTGCTTTAAATCACACCAAATCTTATATAAAAGTTCAGTTCAGCTAGACTAATCCAGTTAGTTATGTTATGTTCATCCAATCGAGTTCCACCAAGAAGGTGTTTGGGATTACTTTTGAAGGTTAAAAGTCATTTATGTAAAAAGACTTTTTTAACGGTGACTTTTTTTAAAAAAGAATTTTAAAACGTGTTTTTATTAACTTTAAAGGCAAATACCAACTTTTGAGGTTAAAAATCAGAAAAGTAAAAATAATAATAATAATAATAATAATAATAATAATAATAATAATAATAATAACATCTTCCTTCCACACATAAAAATTATTTTAAGGTTAAAAGTCTTTTAGTTTTTTTTACTTGTTTAAAAAATTAAAATTCAAAATTGTTTTAAAAGGAATACCAAACACACTTCAAAAACTAGGGGTAAGCAAAAACCGCACCACAATTAAAATTAACCGCAAAAACCGTACCGATAACCACAACCGTAATAAAAACCGATGGTGAAGTTTTATGTTTTTCAAAAACCGCAAATTTGCAGTGCGGTACAGTTATTAGTTTTCAAAAACCACAAAAAAACCGCATCGTACTGCATATATTACATACACTATTTTTTATTAATTGTTACTATATTAAATATTACAAATAAGATAAGTTTCATGGATGAAAGATAGATAAAATACTAGAAGACAAAAGTGTTGGTTTTTTGTTATGTTTAACTTTGAAAAATAATAAAATTAAACAATTTTAAGATATTTATTATTAATTACTATTGATTTACGTTTTTAAAATATTAGTTGTTTGTGATTTAAGTTGATTGTCTTATATATAATTATTATTATTTTATTATTATTTTTTTTATCATTAAAAGTGATATGTTTGAACTCTTAAAACCGTTTGAGCTCTAAACTGTGGTTAAAAACCACACAAAATAACTGCACCAAATCCATGTGGTTAATAACCGCAAAAAAAAAAAAAAAACCGCAAAAATAACCGCACCAAACGGTTTTGAAAATGAATTGACTGCATTTGCGGTTAGTGAGTAGGTTTTGACTAATAAGCGCCACGTCACTTTTTAGTGAGTAGGCTGGAGGGAGTGGTGTAGAGATGCACAAAACCCGAATCCGATCCGATCCGATCCGGATCCGAATCCGATCCGGTTTCTCTTACGTCATCAAAAATCTGATCCGGTCAAAATCCGATCCGAATCCGGTCAAAATCCGATCCGGTTCTAACCAAAATCCGAATCCGATTCTAATCCGATTTGAAACCGGTTTAAACCGATTTTAGTGGGTTTTAATCGGATTTTGGGGCGGATTTGGATCCGGTTTTTAGCGAATCCGGTTTACGATCCGGTATCAAATCCGATTTGGAATATAGGATTAGGATCCGATTGAAAATCCGGTTTTAAATCCGATCCGATCCGGTTTGGTCAAAACCGGTTTTGACCCAATCCGGTTTCGGATTGGATCCGGTTTTGAATAGTGAATCCGGTTTTTGTGTGCATCTCTAGAGTGGTGCCACCAAAACCGCACTCCCTCCCCCGCCACATAAGCGTCATGTCACTTTTTACCACTCAAGTGTGGTTTCTTGCCACACTTTTCATTTCTTTTATTTTTTTTGTTTTTTTAAGTATTTTAATTTAATAAAACTTTTTTTTAACTATTTTAATTTAATATAACTTCTATTTTAATAAAAAAAAAACATAATTCTTCATTACTTGAAAATTAAAAAAAACAGTACATTACGTTACAAAAAAAACCCACACACATGACATTTAAATAATCATAGAAACTTAAAAAACATAAATAAAATAACTAAAGCAAACTACATAAAGTCGTTCTCCGAGAACTCGTCTTCGGGGTCATCCGGTGGATTCAAATTAAGGTTAATGTTTTGAACCCCGTAAATGTGTTCCACCAAGTCATTGCGAAGATTGTAAAATGTTTCAGTGCAACGTATTTCTGCTCTCCTATTTATATACTCTTTGCCACCAATTTCTATTTCTGCTCTCCTATTTATATACTCTTTGCCACCAATTTCTATTGCCACCAAATCCACATATCTTGTGATGTAACTGCTTCAAGTATGACCGTTAGGTGACCATGATCACCTCGGGTAAATTGCCCATGATATGCTGTAGGGCAATTTTCCCATGCCCAATGGAGAAATCTAAGCTTCCTAGCATTACAGGAAACCCATGCACACTAGCATGATGAACTTGCAATTGCAGGATGTCATTACGTGTAGGCTTACGTAAATATTTTGGACCATAAAACTGAATCACAGTTTTGCAGAAAAAATGGAGACTGTCTCGTGCTATCCTAGGCAGACATCCTAAAACTTTCGTCTAACGCATCAGGCGGAATGCCATATGCTAACTGACGAAGTGCGCCGTGCATTTTTATAAGGGAATGAAACTGAGTGTACCTCTAGCATCGTAGCGTTGTTGGAAAAAACTGCACTCCCTCGTTACATCTTCAACTATACGTTCAAATAAACCTTTGAGCATTCTGAAGCGCCTCATCTTCAACTATACGTTCAAATAAACCTTTGAGCATTCTGAAGCGCCTACGAAAATAATACCCTTGGTAAGTGGTATTCTCTGCAAAATAGTCGTGCACCAAACGTTGGTTGGCTTCTTCACGATTTCTGTAAATATATCTTCGTGCTCTCTGTTGAGAACTTGCAGCTGCGTTGTTACATACAACGTTGTATGTTTGTTCCATCATTTAACACACGCAATAGCGGTATAAAAAATAGTCTGAAATTCTTCAGAAGATGAAGAAGATGACATTTTTGGGAGATGTGATTTTTAATTTTTAATTTTTTTTTTTTGAAAGAGAAAAAAGATTGTGTTGTGAAAAAAAATTAAATTGATATATATATAGGAAAAAAAATTACACGAATATTGCAGTTCAACGGTTAAAAAGTTGACCAACCAATCAGAATTCACGATCTTTAAGAACCGCACTACAGTCCTAACCGCAGGAAACCGTGCCCTGAGAGCGGTGTTCCAGGCTTCGTGGCAGCAAACCGCGGTTTGGAACCGCACCACACCGTCCACTCGTCTAGTCTAACGGCATGCACTCACGCGTATCAAAAACTACCTTGGAATCAACACACTTTTATCCAAAATTGTTATAAACTATTTTTTCCGGGTAACCGCAGTGAATCATGGGCAAGCGCCGGCGCCGGACGTCTTCCTCCTCCACATCTTCTTCGCCTTCTTCGTCTTCATCGACCAATACTTCCTCTCCTTGCTCCGATACTATGCAACAGTTGGATGCTCAGCTCCTTTTCGGGATTATGCTTGCTGCTCTTTCGAACCATGAATTAGGAGCCACATCAGAAGGAACCCTAGTTATCCAAAAAGCCCTAGACCACCTTCTTCTTTCCCTTCTCTCCAAATCCCCCAATTCAGTCATGCAATCTCAACAAACCCTACACATTCCTTTAATCTCCTTGCTCCCTGTTCTCCTCAATTCCAAGTAATTTTGATATCATCTGTTTATAGAGATCATCCGATATATTTAATAATGCACACCATCTGTTTCATGATCAATTCTGAAAGCCTCATTTTGGTGTTGCTTGGGTTTAATCATTATTTACAGGTGCTCTGTGGTTGCTTGTTCTGGTTTGGAGACAGTGGGTGCAGCTTCCCTGTTCTCAATTGAGATGAATGAACAAATTGCATCGGATGGAGAAATAGTGAAGGGGTTGATTACAGCGGTGACAAGCTCTAGGAGGAGCGTAGCCATGGCAGCTTGCAATGCCCTTCTTGACTTGTTGACTACTTCTGTTGGGCGGTGTAAATTGCTGGAATTCTCTGCCATTGACAATCTTATGTGAGCACCAGCTACTTTTTCTTAGTCATTGCTAAACGGACTTCATCTGTCCCTATCTTTGCTGAGGAATAATGTTATTGAAATTGAGTTCAAGAACAAGAGAATCCACAAGGAAAGTTTATTCTACTTATCCATTGGCAAAATTCCTTAGAAATCTATGCTATTGGCTTTATTAATCCAGTAATGAGTTTCCATTCAGTTGTAAAGGGTCTCTACTGTTACTGGAATTTTCAAGAACTTGAAAGACATATGAATGTTGCATTTGTCTCCTAACAGAACATCTCATTTAGTTTCGTATTTCACTAAATATCCACAAACTCTAAAAACATGATTTGTATAATCTGTTAATCTCGTCAATTGCAGACTGCTTTAGATGTTCCATACCCCTGGCATTGACCACATTACAAATTGCACAACAAACAAACATAAAATTAGATGTGTTTATTTTGACAATTGTAAATCTTTATATTTCATTCTAGCTTATCTGCATCTGCTAATTGTATATCTATTGGCTTAAAGTACATTATAATTTATAAGCAAGTACTTATTTTGGGAAAAAACAGAAGAATCTATGCATGTTATTGGCTTTCTGTTTATGCTTCAAGTGCCAAATGCCAATGGCCCATAACACATTGGGTGTTTATGTACCCTACATCCAAGTGCATAAAACTCATGCCAATGAAAAATTAACCAACCTAAATGATTTAATTGGTTTGTATTTTGTTAATAGAATCTTAGCAGCATACATGGACCATGATTAATGGATATGATTTCATTTAAGTGACTGATATTCATCTGGAAGACAGCTGTATAGAGTTGGATTGAATTGTTTTTTATAACTAGCCCATTTAAAGGCATGGAATAGTCCATGGATAAGTTGTTTGATAACCTAATTATGTGTAAAAAGAGCCTCAATTAGATATACTTATGATTCTTCATTTCTAGAGTCCCAAATATCATGTGTAGTTATGAATGATATGAATTTTAGTTATATATATTGACTTAACATCCTTTAGTCTTCGTTTCCTTCAGGTTCCTAAATCTTCATCACCTCCAATTTCCCTAATTTCAGAAGAAGTGGGGAATAAAACTTGCTTCAAAATAGGATTTATGGAAGATGAATACCCTATATTACTTCTTGATCTTGCAATTACTCTCATCAATGATTGTACACTTGAGCAGCTAGTGAAGATCCCAAGAGAACTCCTCAAAGAATTTATAAAATATTTGTCAAGAATATGGGCAAAAGTACACAGACATACTCTACTAGATTCCAATCAGGAATCCGAGAAATTTCTCTATTCAAGCAGTATTAAACCTAATAATTTAGCTGAAACCTTATTCAGACTCTCAATGGAAGAAGGACCATTTGCCACATCATCCAAGTTCCTAGATGTTAAAAGGAGTATCTTTCACTTGGGTCAGATGAATTTTGAATCTTTTATCATAAACCACTGGGAAGAATCACCTTTACTTATAACTGAATCCTCAAATGCTTCATCACCCGATAACAATATTTTCAATTCGTTTTTACAACTTTTCACCTCTAAAGATTCCATTCCTTCATTTCTTGCTTCTTTGCTTCAAAATCTTGTTTCTACTCCACCAATTAGTTCAGATGAGCTCGATATAATCACCTTTCTAAAAGAATCAAGAGAAGAAATCGGTTGCCCTATAATCTACCAACAAGATATTCGTATCCTTAAAACCCTCGATTCTAAAATCGAAAACCATTTTCTTCAAGGCTCTTCAAATCTTCAAGATATTGCTTCTGTTTCAAATGCATTCAACAATGGTTACACTTTTGCCCTTCGTGGGATGGAGTTCCATTTTCAAGATTTCGCATCTATTTCAGAAGGGTTAGCTTTTCTTTTTGGTCAACCATCAACAGGGGTAAATATGTACTTAACCCCACCAAATTCCCAAGGGTTAGCTCGTCATCGCGATGACCATTGTGTTCTTGTGTGCCAAATTCAAGGAGTTAAAAAATGGAAGGTTTTTCCCAATTTTGGTACACAATTACCTCGTTTATATTCATCTCTTGATGATTGTATAGATATGATGGATGGATGTAAAGAGTATTTATTGAGAGAAGGTGACATTTTATACATTCCTAGAGGCTTTCCTCATGAGGCATGTACCATAGTTGATGATGTCAAAGCAAATGAAGATGTGAAATACTCCTTGCATCTTACTCTTGCTATTGAGATTGAGCCTCCATTTGAGTAAGTTTTTTACTTCTACTATGCAAAGTCTTCATAAATTTTTTTCAAACACCATTTATCCAAACAACACTTAATTGGAACAAAAGAAAAAGAAAAAAAGAAATAGGGCCTTACTTGCTTTGACAAAACAATATCTATGGTTAGATTTATCATCACTTTGTAAAGGTAATACTTAATATCCTATAATGTTCACAAATGCTCAACACGTGTCCACAGTAAAACATATGATTACACTTTGAAATTTGGTTTTCCTATAGACTTGTAGATGCCAGGTAGGAAAGGAACAATAACATAAAATAAAAAAACAACATTAAATACTTTACTTTAAATGATATCATCATCTAATCATTTTGCTTTTGGACCCATGGTTGTTACATGTTTGAGGTTCATATTGTATGGTCAATATGCCAGTGCTTCACCCTTCAAGTATGTATTTATTTATTTATATTTTATAGACAAAATAGTATTTTTTTTATACAATATCAACTGTATATATGATTGTTTTGAATGGTCAAACTGATATATCTTGATGACAGACATGAAAATTGTTCTTTTGTGACGTGTCCCACCCCATATAATGTTGATTGTTATGTTGTCTATATTAGGAAAATAATTTAGGGTAAGATAAAAAAAGAAAAAAAAAACATCTGGACTTTTCACCATTTTATCGATTTAGCCACTTAACTTTTTTTTTCTAGTGATTAAACCGTTATATTATTGTTGACTTTATAAAATACCATTTTTCTCAGTTAACCTGGTTTTGAAAAAGAACAAAATACTGAAAAACACAACATGTGCATTTTCATGGTAGCTTCGGCCATTTATTATAAAAGAGTGCATTATATTTTGATATTATTTTGGTTACATATGCACTTCCTTTGGTTGTTATTTATTATGTGTCAATTCTTAGTTTTTGTGTCTTTGTTGGGATATTTGCTACTTTAATGAATAATGTTCTTTCAAAACAAGAAACCTAGAGATGCATGTGGACTGGTCAATGTTTGTCATAATAATACATAGTATCAACATGTGATGTGGACCAAGGCACACACACACACACAAAAACAAAAATACAAACACATCAATCTTATCTTTGGAACTAACATCTTTCATGCAATAATCTTTTCTTACTCCTCTCTAGAAATATACTCTCTAGTTTAAGCTTCCAAAACTTGTTAGGCAACGTTATGATAACGAGGGTATTTACGTCTTTTACATACATGAGAGATCAAAAGCAAGTCCAATCACACCATATTCCACCTTTTTACAAAAAAAAAAAGTTAGTGTTATCCTACATGAAGATTCTGTCCTATATAACGTTAAAGACTTATTCATGGTAGTTTTATGATATCATTGAATTAAAAAAAAAAAAAAAAAAAAAAAACATTTTAATCCTTGATGAAAAAAGAACCTTCTAGCTTCCAATAATAATGCAAATTAAAAATTGATGTAGACACTGATATTCATTTTCATTAAAAACCAATCATGAATCTTATGTTTCATTTATTTATTAATAAGAAATAACAACGTGCTTTCATTAATTTGTTTGTTATGATATCCTAATAAGAAAAAAAAAAAAAAAAAACTACAATACTATAATTAGATAAAAATTTCAAAGTACAATGTCTTAATAAGAAAAAATTACAGGTGGGAAGGCTTTATTCATGTAGCACTCCATCATTGGTATCACAACTACAAAATCTCCAATCACAAATCTTTCAAACATTCATCTCTGAATCTTGATGACGTGGCAATGCACTTAATGCACATTGCAATCAAGTCCATTGGTGACATTGATCCTACATTTCGAAAGGCTTGTTTGGTTGGTGGAATTTCATATCAATCAGTTACCCAAATCTGGTTAAAGACTCACCAACAGTTACTTTTCAACCATTTGATCAGTAAAATTAATTCCAACAGTAATTTTAAGTACATTGCTTCCAATGTTCTTGGAAAACACGAAGATATACTTGAAAATTTTAAATGGCTTGAGCATCTTGATAAGAAAACACCCTCAATTGAGATGGAAGATATCTTTCATTTACTAATTCATGAAAAGGAAAAAGTCGAAGCTGTTTTCATGATGATAAAGTCTGAATTCTGTAACAAGGTGGTATTACTATTTGATGACGTGGTATGTTGTTATAATGAGTTACTGGAAAAATATAGGAGGACGCGAAAACAATACATCAATGGAATGTTGGCTTTGAATTGCAGTTGCTAATACAGGCAGTTTGTTTCAATATCAAGATTTATCAATGTAATTTTGTTTCTTCTTTTATAATTGGATAAGATTTTTTGAAATACGATGTTGTAACAAGAAGAAATGGAGTAGGATGGTATGATAAACAAATCAATTAAAATAAGTTGGTGTTTTTGCATTTATATTTATATTACTAACATTTGTCTTCTTGAACCTAGTTTTATGTAAAAGAAAGCAAAACCAAAGGAAAAAAAAAAGGAATAAAATGGAAAGTATGTTGATTTCATATGGTAAAAATTATCAATCGATACAATGTACGGTTGATTCTAGATGGTGCACAAACGGTACCCTTGGCTAAAGCCAGTGACCCGTTGGCTCAACTTTTATGGATGTTTGGGATTCGGGCTCGGATGAGTTTTCACACCCTGATAATCAATATTGTAAACAATCTCTCCATCTTCATTATTCATTTCATTTTCATCATATGCTTTTGACATCAAATTTGCTTGCGTTGCAGATCCTGCATTCGCATCTACCTGCAATACGCATACAGAAAGAACGACTTAATACAGAAAGTCATGGAAAAAATCCTTACTTTTACAACTTTCCTCTCATTTACCTAAACAAGTCATAATCTTCTTAAATGTTTTAAAAAAATTGTTTATCCAGACAACACTTTATTCTTTATTCGTACCTTGTTGAAATGAGGGTTGGGGTATTGTAGTGTCCTCAGGCGTCTCCTTGGTTGAACTGAAATGAGTCGATCATGAGTAGAGTAATCTTTGATTTGAGAGACAAAAAAGAGACCTAGAATTGCAAAGATGAAGAAAAGTAGGGTGATGTTTGAAAGTCTCATTTTGAATGTGTGATATTGGAAACTTTAAACTTAAAAAATATTACATTATACCTGTGCATATATAATGGGTGGAGTCAATTATTGACTGAGAGACTGTAGAAGGCATGTCCCAGCCCATGCTTATGGGACTGAGGTACAATATGCCAAATGTTATCCAGCTTTTTACTATTTTCAAAGTTTAGCCAATTGAGTTTGTTCAAGTGTTGATCCCTTATTACCTTGTTTTGTCTTAGCTCTGGCCTTACACATGCTATGAGGGTAATTGAGCCCCACTCAATTGGGAATGAATACAATACATCTAAAATTCATATATGTTTAACCATTTTCATATATATATATATATATATATATATATATATATATATATATATATATATATACACACACACACACACACACAAGGTTAGGGGTAGAACCGATAATCGCCTATCTGATTTTGTTGTTTTGTACACGTACCAGTTTTTTGATATAAGGAATGCATAACACTGTGAGTGTATCTTTAAAAATTATATAATTCAAGACATATACACAAATAGTTATTTGGAATTTATCATTTGAACGTGAGAAGAAAAATGATGTGGATGTGAATCTTGGATGTGATGAAGATGAAGATAATGGTTTAAAATTAGAATGTGAAACTTTTGGTACACTTGATGAGCATATATGTTCTATGTGTCGTATGCGGTTTTTACATGCATTTGGTAATTGGGAATATATAAGATGACAGATGAGGTTTATTAACAAACAAACGCCTTAAAGTGTGAAGAGTAGTGATTTATGTGTGGGTGCAATGAAACATCACATGAGATAACTTGACCTCAATTGTCAAGTGATGTTTTTGTCTTTTTTATTAGATTAATATCGTTATCGTTATTATTAATATTTATAAATTAGCTTTACGTATTCCAAAATATATACCTGGCACATTTTACTTTTTTTTTTTTTACCTTATTTATTTATTTATTTATTTTTGCTTTTATACTTTTAGTCTAGATTTTAAACTTTGTTATAAAATTGATTTGAATATTAAATTTTATTACAATTTCATCCTAAATTTTGTATAGTTTAGAAATTTAATTTTCTACAGCTTTTTAAAGAATTTTTTACAATATTTTTAAGATTTATTTTCTTAATCTTTTTATAGTTTTTTTTAAAGAAATCTTTTGCAACATTTTTAGAACTTTTTATGGAAAAATTTACTACTTATTATACTTAGTTACAAAAGAGTTATAAAGTTTTATATTTTTTAATACCACGTTTTAAACTTTGGTTATAAGTTTTTAATTTTTTATACTCTCATATAAGTTTAATACAACATTTTCACACGACTTATCTTTTAACGAAGGTATTTTTATATTTTATATTTTTATTTTTTTAATATTTTCATACGACTTATCTTTTAACGAATGTATTTTTAGATTTCATAAAAAGTATAAAAAAAAGAGCTATAACAATCTATGAAACATTTAAAATTGTTGTGAAAAGACTTTTGAAAGAGTTGTATGAAAGTTATAAAAAAGTTATATGAAAGTGTAGAATAAAAGTTTAAAAAAAATAACTCAAGTCTTAAAAAAAAGTTTGTAAAAATTAAGAAATTTAATGTCTTAAAAAATTAAGAAAAAAACTTTAAAAGATGTTATAAAAAATTCTAGAAAAAGTCATAGAAAAATAAATTTATAAATTCAGCTAAATTTAGAAAGAAATCGTAATAAAATTTAATGTTCAAACAAAATTTACGATCTAAGCCAAAAGTATAAAATTTGAAAGAGTGTTGACATGTTCCACCTAAGATAGATTAAGCAATCTCATACAAAATATACAAAAAAACATAATTGGTTATCATTTTATAAAGTAAAATACGTTTGTTAGCAATATAAATATAAATATAATTTTGAATTTTTTTTTCCAAAATTAAGTGATAATCTTATAAATAATTATAAGGAAAGTAAAGTCTTCTACGGAAACATAAAGGTAAATGATAAATATTAATAATGAGTTTTATTGTTCTAAAAAACAATAACAATATTAATCTAATATTTTTATTTGTGAAAAGATGAAAAATGGTTCTTTGACATTTCTAAGGATATACATAATCATGAAAATAAGGAAACATCTTATGGATGAAAATAAGGAAACATCATTCACATATAAACTTTCTATTGCTTAACGGTGTTTAAATCTCTTATGGTGAAACCTAACCGAACATGGTTGAAATATCCTTTCTAATAAATAAATATCTTTTTGTCACATGTCACATTCTCATTTAATTTGTAAATGTTATTTTTTTATTATTTTTAATTAATTTTTTTTACATGTCATTTTATGGGGTTTTCTATTTTATTAAATTTTACATAATATTTTAATGTAATAATTGCAACAAATGTAATAATAAATAGATATCAATTTCATTAATTAATTTAATTTTTAATTTTAAAATTCTCAAAATTAAATCTCATTAATTTCTTTTATTTATTTATTTAAATTATTTGTTTAAATTTAAAAGATTAAAACATTTCTATTATAATAATTCATTATTTTTCTTATTTTCTTATAAATTCAAAGTTTTCAAATATTTTGACATTTATATTTACTTTTTTTCTAATTAATCCATGTAATACATGAATTTCACAAATAGTTTTCCGGTAAATAAGGACATCCACAATTCAC